TAAAGCCACTAATAATTTCCAAGTATCTTGTAAGGTCATTCCTTTGTCTTCATATAACCCTGACACTAGTTTAAGTGTCTGAGTATTGTGGTGTAGTTTATTTCTGATACTAGATGTCAGCTTGTTGTTACGGTAATCTTAAGGAGACTAATGCTCCCGAAATGACTGAAATCTACTTTATCTAGTGTTACAGCTTGATACGTTAACAATTAACTCTTTTAGTTGCATATACACTTGATCAAACACTTTGATATACATCTTTAAGAATAAATAAATTTAACAGAATGTCATTAGAAACTAGTTATTATTTCAGCCCATTCTTGTTTTGATTAATTCATCATATATCCACCTCCCGCCTACTTCGGAAGAGAACACACCAGGTTCCAGCGAAGGAAGAAATCAGGAAGAAGCGCTAGAAGTGGATAGGACGAACACTGAGGAAAGCAGCTGACTGCGTCACATAGCAAGACCTCACTTAGAATCCTCAGGGTCAAAGGAGATGAGAAAGACCAGAGAACATATTACGCCGAGAAACGGAGTAAGAAATAAGAAGAATGAACAAGAGTTGGATAGAACTACAAAGGAAGGCCGAAGACAGAGTGGGTTTGAGAATGATGGTCAGCGGCCTATGCTCCATTGGGAGTAACAGGAATAAGTAAGTAATCCAAACGAACTAATTTGAAAGTCAACTTAGGACAAAAATGTATACATAGTAGAAGTACTTAACAGCTCATCAATAAAAGCCTTATTTCTGTACTGAGAACCTGTGTACTGAATATCTTACACCGCTACGAAGTCAACACCCTTCAAGTGTTTTGAGATGCTGTCAGTATGTATTGATTTCTTTTATTCATATTACTTTTTAACTAGGCAGTTATTTTTGTTATACTTTTCATCCATATAGCATTTTTCACTTAGTTTATGTGAATTAGCTTATTGTTATTAAATAATTTTGATTGAGATCATGAGTCGATCAATGTTAGACTAGTGTTGAAAACCTTGAAGCACTAGATGGCCGCTTCATCCTAGTATGGAATTTCACAGAGGTGCGTACTCATGGGTCTCGGATCAAGAATCTTAGGATTTGTGCGGCAACTCCTAACCTGTAAACCACTGGGCCGGTATCCAATGGTGTTAATGTCTGACTTTAATCTATCAATGATCCTGCACAACCCTTCATCCATTGATTCTGTGGGAAATTGTCTTCACCTGACACGGATTGGATTCCACTAGTCACAGCCTCTCATCAGAACTCTCAGAACTTCCTTTCGAAGCTGATTATACATAATTACAACTTTAAATACTTGAGATATTTCATTAAAATCATAACAACTTTGGTAATGAATCAGTATCATGTTACTTAATTATTGACCACATGATATAAAGTGAATATAAATGCTATTGTACTACATTCTACAAGGTTGAAAAGAAAGCAGTTAGAAGTTCGATGTTTTCAGCATGTAATCTTATCGCTCCAGTGATCGACAAGTTGATACAATTCGTCCAAATCTACCTAGATCAACATGTGTTGTATCCCGATAAGAATAGTGAATGGTAACTGTCGGATTATTTATTGTTATTATTCTAACACATAGATATTGGTACAAAGAAACACCAACTACATATGCGCTAGACAAATCTCATTCGATATGTGTGAGGGCTTTGATACTGCACGGGTGCCAAAACCGAGGCAGGTGCTTTTCTTAGGGGACCACCCTCCGAGCCTTCAACCTGAAGGTCCGATCCACAAGGCAGTGGAGCATCATAAGGAGATGAAGTCCCGTGGAAGCCGGTGACCAACAATTGGTTCGTACGCCATTTGTTCCCGCAGGATACTGGAGCTCATATGCACCATTGGTTTGGGATCAAAGTTTTCCATCTTCCCTAGGTGAATTCTCCATGTCCACTAACCCAGTTAAAGCGCCGTTCATCCGCTTTTCGTCCTCTTAATTCGGTAAACAACACTGGTGCAGCGAGAAGGCGGTGAGTAAGACTTCCCTGGCAAAGGCTAAATACACGTTGTCATGTGGGAGCATTTCGAGAGGGAGAGCGGGCTCTTCTCACTCTCGGCCGTATCAAAGCATTTGGGGGCGGTAACTGTCGGAACCTATTTCTGAACTAACAATATTTTTTTCTGGGTAGCGTTTTTCGGTGAGTTAGTTTTCTACGGGATTGGGACGCTAACCCCATGCCCAACCCTCCTCCTTTATCCGGGCTTGGGACCGGCAGTAGCCCCAGGATGGACTCCAGGCGGACTAACACTATATATATATATATATATATATATATATATATATATATATATATATATATATATATATATATATATATATATATATCGTATAATTGTTAAATAACTAAAATATCCATATTCATGTTTTTCTTATCATAAACTTTATTTTGATCTATGAACTATTATTATACGATTTACCATTCTTCAGTTATGCTCGGTCTATCAATTATTATCCCACACATTCACAACTACATTTGGCTAAATCATGTACAAATGTGTATTTTCTATTTAATGATGTGATGTGGTTTATTTGGTTTGTATATACACCCAGTATGTTTGAAATACATGATTCATATCATGGAGGCTGAGATAGGTGTTGTGGACTTAACTGGTTGAGCTAGTCAGGAAGTAGGATCGATAAGGATTCTAGACTGCTCGTACTTGTTTTATGCGTGATTGGTATGGTCGGTAATCCACTGTTTTCTAACTGGCGGTATCATTACGTTATCAATTAATAGGATAGAGCACAAGTTATAAAAATATGACTCATGATCTCAACTATTGAAATTACTACAATCTGCATAAAACCCCTTCTGATACTAATCAACATATGCTCACTAGTGAATGGTTTCAAGATGTATATACTGGAGTTTTAGTGAGAAGCAACGATCAGTAGAGTTCAACTAGCCCTGTTGAGAGATAGTAACTCACTGATGACCATGATAAATATGTCGCCTTATTTCGTGGATTAGTTGAAGTTAGACATTAACACAGTTGGATTCCGGCCGGTTCAGTGGTCTGTTGATTAGGCGTTCTCACATGAGACCGATAGTTCCTTGGTACGAATCTCGCGAGACAGGATTATGGACACTCATTGCTGAGGAGTCCCACAATAGAATGAAACAGCCGTCCAGTACTTTCAGGTTTTTCATTGTGGTCTAGCTTCAATTGATTCACGACTGCAACTATTGAAACTATTATTTGTCACACTTTTAAGTAAATATCTAAGTGAAGAAGCAGATCATATTGATTTATATGAAAAAAATATATTTGCTATACGTAGACATAAGTGTTAAGATATCTGGGGAATTCATTATCCCTCTAGGTTTTATTGAAAGAAGAAAAAAGCATTCAGAAAATCAGTTTGTTAAGCTAATAATGAAATCATTCAATATATTCCCATGTTAGTATGATGTATTTTCATTTCATTTTAGATAAATTTTACGCACATTTCAGAAACCATAGTTTCAGTTTATTTTATAAAGTTAAGTTGAAGATGTTAATTAATGATTAAAATATTTGGGATTCTATTAGTATCTGTAGAAAATGTTATCTTAATAGACTGGTGTGTTCCAAAGTTTAAAATCTTACGCCATATACATTATAAGTAATAGAGTCCAGGACGCTCGTTTCATCTTATTTGGGACGCGTTAGCTGGATCATCTTCTTTCTAGAACTCGATCCTAGTGCCGTTCGTCACAAACTCTATCGCGTTATCCATATCGCTACTAAATCCTGATAGCCACTAGCTTGTGCAATGACTACCTACTTACTAATCCATGCCTGTTACTCCTCGTAGAGGAACATAGACCTCACACCAACATTCTCGATCTAACCCTGTCTTGAGCAATCGTTTCCAGATCTTTCCAGTTGTCATTCATCTTTTTCATATCTGCTTCAATTTCCCGATGTAATGTTTTCTTTGACCTTCGTTTTTCAAGCTTTTATTCTGGATTCCAAGTTAGGGTTCTCCTCCCATGTAGCTCTTCTAGATTTACTGCCAGTTCCAAATCTGATAAAGGAAGAGAGTTGTGCATAAAATTAACGACCTCATCCAGTAGAAAACTAACTTTCTCAAAAAACACTAATCAGTTTTGTAATGAAGTGATGTTTAAATCCATTTGATATTGTTTACTTCAATCTTCCCATTAATGTTTATGACTAGAATTGATTAGTCTTTTACGTGACATAGTTTAAAATCTATTTTTATTCATGCAATCAAATTTAAATATTGATTGATGTTGTCCGTTTATTCAAACTATATGTTCCCTATACTTTTAATCACTCATTATTACTAGTATTGTTTACAACCGTCAATAATTTATCATTCTTTCAATAGTTGAGATCGTGAGTCAATTGAAGCTAAACCACCATGGAAAATCTGGAAATACTGGACGGCCGTCTCAACCTAGTACACTACTGCTCAGCAGTGTGCATCCACGATCCCGCCTCGCTAGGTTCCAACCCAGGACATATCAGTCTCGCTTGCGGGCGCTTAACCATAAAACCACTGAACCGGCCGGCATCTAACGGTGTTAATGTCTAACTTCAATTAATCCACGCCACCATCCATCATTGTTATCAGTGAGTTATTATCACACAACAGACCCGGTTGAACTCCACTGGTCATTGCTTCTCACTAGAACTCCATTTTAAACGCCGCGAGGTCGTGTCGTGGGTGCATACTGCCGAAGAGTCTGACAATAGGACAAAACGGCCTTCCAGTGCTTCCAAGTTTTTCATGATAGCCTAGCTTTAATTGACTCATGATCTCAACTCTTGAAATTACTGCACTCTTCACAAAACCTCTTCTGATATTCACTTTTGATAAATTCTACTTATAATTTTAGCATGAATTGTTGAATTTTAAATCAATGTATATGAATAATTTTTTGTTTGGTTATGTTTTACGATATTCTGGATACAATTTGTAACTAAATTATCTTGACAACATACTTGACCACTTGAGATGAAACAACTAAAGTAATCAGTAATGAAATAATGTATTTCTTCTCATTATCCTTCTTCTTCTTCTTTTTCTTCTTCTTCTTCTTATTCTTCTAAAAGCGTACTTATCATCATAACATAAAGAACAAAAATAACCCAGAACAAAATATCAACTGGAAGAATATGACACACACACACACACAAACACAAAAACCAGAGCTCAAAATGAAATCACACAAAAGAAGATCAATTGAAATATAGAGAGAAAGAAAGAAAAAATAATTGAGAAGAAATTCTTTGATTAAATAGACGTTATATCTGGTAAATATCTGAGATTTGTTAAATCAATATTACTCTCTGTCTCTGGAATCACATCACATTCATCATCCTCATCCTCCTCCTCATCATCCTTGTCATTACTATTTAATACAAAACAGCTTCTTGTATCCTTATTTATATTATTATTAGTAGTAGTAGTAATATTAATTAAATTATGATCTAGATTTAATTTCTGATAGGTTTCATGTTCATGAATGATCTTTTCGGAAATTTGATCTTCATTGAATAATTCATCATTCTTTAATTGAATATATTTCATCAATAAATCATTATTATTATTATTATTATTATTATTATTCATACTATAGTTAGTATTAGTAATGGAATTTTTAGGAGTATTATTAATACTACCGCTATGCATTGAATTTGGTGTTGAATTCAATTCAATTGATTTTGATGTAAATAATGAAAATAGAGTACATGAATCTTGTGTAGGTGTTAATGAACTATTATATTCAATTCTTACTTTATTCATATGATCATTTGATAATTGATAAGGACGTTGTTGTTGTTGTTGCTTAGGCTGTTCAAGATGATGATGATGATGGTGATGGTGATGATGTTGGTGGTGGTGATGGTGTTGTTGTTCATGTTGTTGATGATGATGATGATGATGGTGATGATCTAGGTTTTCTTCAATCAAATCATTATCATGATTTAAATGATTTTTATTTATACTTATATCCAATGAATTATTTTTATTAGATGATTTCATATTATGTAATAAAGATGAATGAATACGTAATACTTGATAAAATTCCATACGAAATGTTTTATTTAACCAACCATATAATATAGGATTTAAACAAGCTGAACTTAATATTAATAATAAACATAATGCTTGTGTTATAATTACTGTAATAGCATTAATGTTATTAGCTTCAATACTCATAATTTGATTAATTGCTTTTAAATTGGTTGTTGAATGTTGTATCATTGAATCCGATGTGATAGGTATATCACTATTTATTGTATTATTATTATTATTATTACTATTATTATGATTACTGTTGTTACTATGATCGTATTCATTGATTTTTAAATTTTTAATTGCTATATCAATACTACTTATAATAATTAATTCACGTATATCACTGATTACATTCATTGTATTAATTGGTAACCAACTTAAACAAAATATAATAGCAATTACTGTGGATAATATAATGGCTTTACGATGTCTACGATCAATTGCTTCTTTTTGTGATGTTATTGATATTGTTGGTATAGGTGATAAAATCATATCTTGTTTCTGTGGTGATTTATTAATTTGTTGATTATTATTTAAACAATAAACATTATCATTATTATTACTGTGTGGGTGGGGGTGGAGATGGGGGTGGTGTTGGTAGTGATGGTGGTGATGGGGATGAAGCTGTGTTTTACTATAAGAAATTCTATTCTCTTTTGTATATAATATCTTTTCATCTTTATGATATTGTTCATGAATTTGTTTATGTATAATTTGTGATAAGCATATTTTTTGAATTGCCCTTAATTTACGATCACGTATACTTAAACAAATACGATAATATACAATGATAACAATTATTAATGGTGTCATATATTGTATAATTAATGCAGCTAATGAATAAAATACTTTTAATTTTTGAATAGTAGGATTATTAGCTTTTTCAGTACATTGTAAATGATTTAATTGAGTAATATGTGAAAAATAAATTAATGGACTAGCTAATATAAATGCTGTAATCCATGTTAAATAATTTAATTTAATTGCTGTATTTATATTACCACGATGGGTTGTTGTAGGATAAATGATACACTGTAAAATTGAAAGAAAAAAAAAAGAATAAAAGAGAGAGAGAGATAGAGAGTAAGTGAGAGAATGATCAATATTAAATTTAATTTATGCTCCACGAACGAACCATTCAGCTCAGAGAACAAAATCCCATCAAAATCATCCACCTAAGCTACTATCATCTCTTTATCACTAAGGTGTTTTAGCTGTGAGGAAAAGCACATGTTCAAATGTGTTATTATTTGTAATCTAGAATTTTTTGAAAAGATTATATTCATGTAAAGTCACTGGTTTGGTCTCTACCAGTGTCTTACTGGAGAGAATGAGCACAAACGTATGGATTATAGTTGATTATCTGAATATATATATCAATTACATGGTTAACGATTACTCACAAAATATGAATAACCGACTCGAATACACCGATATTAGAGAACGAGAATAACTGGTCAACAATATAATCATCTTATATTTTATTCATATCTGAAGAATATTTGATACAAGTATTATGTGCTTATTGTAAACAATGATGGATAGTGGCTAGCAGTAGAATCCAGGATGGGCGTTTCATCCTATTATTTACAAAAAGCTTGTGAATTAAGGCAATATCGAGGCATACGCACAGTATACACATATGCCGATAACAGACTGATCAATTGCAGTTTTAAACCTCAATGGGAAGATACGAGCCAAATAATACTAAGTGAATTTATTATGTGCTTAGTTCATTTATCAGTAGATGAAATTTAACTGATCAAACTATTTGATCACCCTATAACTCAACAAATCTATCTGCATCATATCGAACGTGCATTTCAGTCAAAATGGACTATAATTTGATTTTTAAAGTTGGCTTCATGAATCGAACTAAACTAGATCACTAATGAAAAGATGGAAGCACTGGACGGCCATTTCATCTTCGTATGGAGCTCTTCAGCTGTACACATCCACAATACCGCACCCAGGACTTGAACCCAGGAACCCCAGTCTCACACAGGAAACGTATCACTTCTTAAGACTTTATTAGTTCATGGGACATACGATTATCCGTTTACAAATATGAAATTTATTTATGATATAAAACTTACTTTTTTAAAAGAGAATGGAAATCTGAAACTTTTACTAACTTATGGATTGAAATAGAGTAATCCGACTAATTATATTGCCAATATACGTAGTTTAGATAATTCTTTGTGAGTGCTACTAATGTCGATAGATATAAGTATTATGTTTTTTTCACAGATTTAAATCATGAGTCAGTTGAAGCTAGACCACCATTGAAAACCTGGAAGCACTGGACGGCCGTTTCGTCCTAGTATGGGACTCCTCAGCAGTGCACATCCACGATCCCGCGCCACGCGGGGCTCGAACCCAGGACCTACAGTTGATAGTGAAATACTTGGCAGTAGAAGGTTAAGAAGATCAAAGAAAAGAGAATGAGAACAATGAATGTTTGATGTAGAAACGAAGGTTCAATCGAGTTTGAGACGATTGATTGACATTTTAATGGTGAAATGGTTCTCAGATTTGACTAAGAGATTCTGTAATTTTATATTCAAATACATTTGGTTCTCCTCACTGATATTCTCGTTCATTACAGCATATGTATGTTTGACATCAATGAACAGAAATCTGAAAATTATTTTATCAAACTTTGCCATTCACATAGAAAACAGACTTTCACTGAGAATGTCGAAAACCAGTTACATACTTCATGTTAAAAGGTTTAAAAATGGAAAAAAAGTGTAGAAAATGTAGTTTATTCTAATTAGATATCAGCCGGTCAGTCGTCTACAACGTTGGACCAGGCACATATATGCATCGGTCTAAGTTGTCACACCTAATTAGCACAGCTATTTGAACACCGGATTCATAGAAGTAGTTAATTCAATGGTGGTAATATATGAAAGAAAAATTACATCTATGAACATAGTACAGGAAGAAACAATTTGTTCGTAAAAAGACAAAGGGTGTATACAACTACACAATTGTGATTGATTCTGATCCACATCACCCAGAGTCTCAAACCAATGGGTACGATAGTCACGCTGATCCCAACCAAGTAGTCTGCATCTACCAACATGGCTCAGACTAGAAGTAAGTGTCTTTAAGCACTGATGCCACGTTTTCTTTTGGCCGCCCCTAACTTTCTTCCAACCATCTCCAACCCTAGTCAGCATTGCCTGTCGTGGTAATTGGTGTTCATGCATAAGTAACACGTGGCCCAACCATCACAGTTAATGAAGATTCATAACCTTCATTAAATATCTAATGAAATTGTTTATAAGGTATACATTGTATACTTTCAATGGTTCCTTCTGATTAATAAGATCAACTATTTAATATTATATAAAGAAAACATATTAATTGAAGTCAGATTTGAAAGTGTTTACCATATGATTCATGTTTAGAATGAAAATAGAAATGAAAACTATACAGAATTGTTTTTATACAATGTACTGGTTATAAGCAAAAATGGCTAGCAACGGAATCCAGCACATGCGTCTCGTCCTGTTTAGAACACATCAGCTGGATGCCCCTGCATCACAGAGTTGATGTCCACTCTAGAACTCGAACGTAGTACCGTTCTCTTCAAACGCCATCACGTTATCTACTTAGCTACTGAGACCTGATAACTACTTGCTTGTGCAATAGGGTGAAGTTTAAATTCATTTGGTATTGTTTACTTGAATCTTCCCATTGATATTTAGAGCTGCAATTGATCACTCGAGACAGTATGAACAGTGTGCACATATGCCAATAAGAGACTGACCTACTGACTAGTATCATACGATTAACTATTCTTGAGATATTAGATGGTGGTTGGAGATAGTCAACAGGAAACCCTGGACCCGGGTTTCGTGCTACTTGGCACTCGTCAGAAAGGTGTACCTGTAATCTTGAGGAAACTGGTGCTCCCTGGCGGATTCGATCTCGTGTCACCCAGCTTCACAGTCAGAGACGTTACCACTGAGCTATCCGAGCCGTGACTGACCTCCACCCAGTGGTCAATCAATTGTGATTCTTGAGATATTTCCAATTTATTAGTAACAGTTTCTCACAATCATAGCCACTTTTATCTTGATCTTGTACAGACGTTCTTTTTTATTTTCGTTTTTTTTTGATGTGATGTAATCTGATTTTACTTGCATATAAACCAAATATGTTTGAAATCTATGATTTGTATCGAGAAGCCTTAAATTGATGTTCTGAACTTAACTGGCACTGCTAGATGGAAAAAGTACCAATCGGAACTCTAGCCTGCGCATACATGTGTATTCGTCATTAGCTTAGTCGTATATATAATCATACTTAGATTCGGAAATCATTTTTCGCTTTCATTGAATTAGTTAAGGACGTAACAATAATATTTTGATTTTAAATTTCTAAAATACACAATAAGATATCCGATCCCAGTGAATTCTAATATATGCTAGTATATTAGGTTTAATCTCCAAATTCTAGATTTGTAATGATGTAATCATCTAATCTGTGAGATCTTACTTTGGAAGTCATATCATTTTCTTGATTGACCTGCCCTTCCGTGACAGTCTGCAGTAGGCTATTTAGGACTTCTGAAGAGGATGTTTATAGTGAGGATAAAATGATATGTGTTATGAAAAGAATGAAGTTGCATACAGCGACCACTCCGTCTTGGTCAAGTCATATCTTATCGATTAAGTCCCTTCAGGTTAAGCACATTCAACATTCTTTGAGCGTTAAATAATTAATGTAAGTCATATGTTTGGTTTCAAAGGTCGTGTGCGGAGGGGTGAATACCACTACAAGTACACTATCTGACTTTTTATCTCTCATCAAAGGCTATATAAGTATTCGAGAACTTTGGATAAGCTGCAAACAAAGAGACTCTGCAATCTGAACAATTCAAATTCATTTATAACTTATAACAACTCTCCTACAATCCATTTCCATTATGGTTAATTTTAATTAAGTCCTTTTTATTAACTTACTTAAAAGACAATGTTATTCAAACAGTTACAATTCGTATAATTTTTTGTACTATTATGATCATTATCATATCTGTATAAACGTGTACTCTTAATTACCTGGCAACCTCTAGTTAAAATATTGATCTTCGATGATTCAATCTCTTTCTCATGTATATATGAACATGAATCCTATTATTAGTCTCTACTTTTCCAAGCTGCTTCTCATATCGATTTGACTGTAAATTTGCCTTTGTATTTGCTCGCATTCACACATACACACATGCACACATTCTCATCTCCACTTCAAATACTTTCCATGTGTTTATAATTTAATAATCTATGCTATCCGTAAATAAACTATATAGTCACCGCTTTCTAAGCTAAAAAAAGGATAGTGGTTAGCAGTGGAATCTAGTTTGATGCGTGTTTCGTCCTATTTCGGACTCGTAAGCTGGATGCACTTGCATTTCAGAGTTGATATTCATAACCATCTCTTCTTATCACATTCTGATTTGAAACATCGTTAAGATCTATATAATAACGATTATAAAAAGGAAACTATGCCACTATAAACAAAAGAAAATACTATTTAATACAGATATAATTTAAGATAAGACTGAAAAAATATGTTTTAACTCGGTTACTCTATTATGACATGTAAATGAAAACTAAACTTCCTGTGATAAAATCTTAATCAATTGAATGTATATAATACAAGGCGCTTATATTGAAATGTCTTATTATTATTATTATTAATTCTATTGTATTGCAGGGTCTTTATATTAAAGGGTCTTACAATAGTATTAATAATAACAGTATTATTATGATTATTATCAATATTGAATTGATTATGAAATAGTCTTTTTAGTAGAGAAACTTTTGTCTGGAAATGTGAATGAAAATAATTTTTAAAAGAAAAGAAAACAAAAAAGAGAAAAGAAAAAAAAGAAAAAAACAAACATGATCGATAAACTTCTTTAACTTATACATCTATATGTGACGGTAAATAGTTGAGAGGAATAAAGAAAAGGGAAAAAAGAGGGAAAAAGAATTCAATAAATCAATATTATTATT